TGAGATCGTCTATCTTAGTCCAATGGGGATTTTAAATATTTTATATTGCTTTTAAATATTTTATATTGCTCCTGAGGAATCTGTACAAGGACCAAGTAGCAACAGTCAGAACTGACCACGCAACAACAGACTGGTTCAAGATTGGGAAAGGCGTACGGCAAGGCTGCATACTCTCACCCAACCTATTCAACTTGTATGCAGAACACATCATGCGATGTGCGGGGCTTGATGAATGCAAAGCCGAGGTGAAAATTGCTGGAAGAAACATTGACGGCCTCGGATATGCAGATGACACCACTCTGATGGCGAAAGCGAGGAGGAGCTGAGGAGCCTTCTAATCAAGGTGAAAGAAGAAAGCGCAAAAGCCGGGTTGCAGCTAAACGTCAAAAAAACCAAGATTATGGCAACAAGAATGATTGACAACTGGAAAATAGAAGGAGAAACCGTGGAGGCCGTGACAGACTTTGTATTTCTAGGGGCAAAGATTACTGCAGATGCAAACTGTAGCCAGGAAATCAGAAGACGCTTACTTCTTGGGAGGAGAGCAATGTCCAGTCTCGATAAAATAGTGAAGAGTAGAGACATCAGACTGACAACAAAGATCCGCCTAGTCAAAGCCATGGTATTCCCTGTAGTCACCTACGGATGTGAGAGCTGGACCTTAGGGAGGGCTGAGCGAAGGAAGATCGATGCTTTTGAGCTGTGGTGTTGGAGGAAAGTTCTGAGAGTGCCTTGGACTGCGAGAAGATCCAACCAGTCCATCCTCCAGGAAATAAAGCCCGACTGCTCATTGGAGGCAAAGTTGAAGTACTTTGGCCACATCATGAGGAGACAGCAAAGCCTAGAGAAGACAATTATGCTGGGGAAAGTGGAAGGCAAAGGAAGAGGGGCCGACCAAGGGCAAGATGGATGGATGGCATCCTTGAAGTGACTGGACTGACCTTGAGGGAGCTGGGGGTGGTAACGGCCGACAGGGAGCTCTGGCGTGGGCTGGTCCATGAGGTCACGAAGAGTCGGAGACGACTGAACGAATGAACAACAACATATTGCTTTAATGCATGGAAGTCATTTCCAACATTTTCTTTGAGGTGGGGAGAAGCATGAAATATAAAATGCAGAAAACTGACTTTCTGAACTATGACCATATAACCTTTCATAAGCATGTTGCTCTAGTTACTACATCATGTCACATCAAATACTTTCCACAATGCTAATCAAGGTGGCCAATTGCAACGTTCACACTTGCCCCAAGCAGACAAGACATCTTTCTCCCACACTGGACATTCAACACATATATAAACCTCACTTGCCTAGTTTCCCACAGACCTCACAACCTCTGAGGATGCCTGCCATAGATGTGGGAAAAACGTCAGGACAGAATGCTTCTGGAAGATGGCCATACAGCCCAGAAAACTCACAGCAACCCACTATTTTTAATCATCTCCTATGGTACTTTCACAACAAATTTATATAGCAGCATAATTTATTTATAGTTTTATGTGTTTTCAGGTCACTTCTGATGTATTGGAACCTTAAGGTGAAACTATGATAGATTTTGTTTGGGAGCGGGACACACAACAAATTAGATTTGTCATTGCCTTTCTTTGGAGCTGAAACATTGCGACTTGCTGAAGGTACCCCATGGATTTTCATAGCTGAGCAGGTATTTGAAGGCTGGTCTCCAGAATCTAGTACACTGATCAAACCACTAAACCATGCTGACTCTTAGCTTTTTTCCTAAAGTACTTAAATATGCAAATATTTACAGAACTGCCTGTATATACAAGGCCTAAAATCTCACAACAAAATTCATTTTTCTATTGACTAACACCACTTCAAATGAATGTGAAAGAGTTACCAGTTAAAAAGTATGAAGATGATGATAGGTTTTCTATAACTTGACTATTTGGATATATACTGCAGTAGATAAATCTAATAAATGAGTCATTTATAATACTTTGAGAATGGCCAGTCATTAAGATGATTTATTCACTGTTTCCACATCACTCATTCATTCTGGCTTGATCTGTAATAACTCTTGTGTATAGGGTTTAAAAACTGAGACTAAATACTGGAATGGATTAACTATGCCACCAAAAAAGGAGCGAGCACTGCCACTGTTTACAACTATAAAAATTGTTCAAAATCACCAGCTGAGTCAGAAGCATAAACAACCATAGTAGAAACTTACATACATTTTTACCAGTGTGAGTGGACAAATATGAGTGAATTATTCTGCGCTAAATACATATGTGCCATTTTCCCCACTGCTCAGATTGGGGGCTTGGCCTGAATTAAGGTGCTAACTTCAATTTCTTTGACAAACCTGAACAGAATTTTTAGATACAGCCATCTCACTGTCACTGGTTATGTCAAAAATAATTATCTTTGTATTGTCAAAGGCTTTTATGACTGGAATCACTGGGTTGCTGTGAGTTTTCTGGGTTGTATGGCCATGTTCCAAAAGCATTCTCTCCTGATGTTGCTCCCACATTTATGTGAAATTAGGCAAGTGGGGTTTATTTATCTGTGGAATGTTCTGGGTGGGAGAAAGAACTCTTGTCTGCTTGAGGCAGGTGTGAATGTTGCAATCGGCCACATTGATTAGCATTGAATGGCCTTGCAGCTTCAAAGACTGGCTGCTTCCTGCTTAGGGGAATCAGTTCAGTAAAGGACACTGCAGACTAATTCAACAAGAGAAGGCAGTCATAGCAGAGCACCTGATGAATGAACCTGGACACAGCATATTATTTGATAACACAGAAATTCTGGACCATTCTAACAACTACCATGTCAGAGAAGCCACTGAAATCCACATAAAATGAACAAAATCTGGCTACCAGTGTTTAAAAAAAACCTCTAAAATTTGGACAGTAAATAAAAGAGCAACACTCCAAAAATGGGAATTCCTGGCATGAAAAAATCTGGGCCAGCTAACACCTCCTAACAAAAGATTCTCCCAGGTAGAAAGCAGCCAGGCTTTGACGCTGCAAGGCCATTCAATACTAATCAAGGTAGCCAATTGCAACATTCACACTTGCCTCAAACAGACAAGAGTTCTTTCTCCAACTCTGGATATTATTCCACAAATATATAAACCTCACTTGCCTAGTTTCCCACAGACCTCACAACCTTTGATGATGCATGCCACAGATGTGGGCAAAACATCAGGAGAGAATGCTTCTGGAACATGACCATACAGCCCACAAAACTCACAGCAACCCAATCATTCTCTTTTCTTACCATTTCTTGCATGCAAAATTTATATAATTTTCGTGGCTCTTCCTTAATTTTTTGACAACCAAAACTTTTTCTTTTGATAAATTTAATGTGTATTACAGTTTTGTGATGTGGGGTATTTTTGATAACATTCCTGGTTTGGTTGAAATTATTTTGCTTACTTTGACAAGTTATTTCTTCCATGTCTCAGAGCAGTCACAGGCAAACTTGGGCCCTCCCTCCAGGTGTTTTGGGCTTCAACTCCCACAATGCCTAACAGCCTCAGGCTCCTTCCTTTTCCCCCTCAGCCGCTTAAGTGAAGGACTGTTAACTGAGGCTGTTAGGAATTGTGGGAGTTGAAATCCAAAACACCTGGAGGGCCCAGGTTTGCCCATACCTGACTCAGACTCTCCAACTTGTTAGGTGCTCCTTTGAAATAAAGCTGGAAATAGAAGAAAGGAGCAGCCAAAACATTGGTAGCGGAAGGCAAGAAAAGACAACCATATCTGAGGCATGATCAGCTTTCTTTTTTCCAACGCCCTGTTTCCAGGCGGCATCTCTCTTGTCTTAGTTTTCTACCAATAAAACCCTTAACCTAGTGGTCCTCAACCTGTGGGTCCCCAGATATTTTGGACTACAACTCTGAGAAATCCCAGCCAGTTTACCAGCTGTTAGGATTTCTGAGAGTTGAAGGCCAAAACATTTGGGGACCCACAGGTTGAGAACCACTGCCTTAACCTATTGTGGCACTTCGTGCGCATCCAAGGCAACAGTGGCAGGTCCAAAAGATCACATCCTGGGCCCACATCTTCTTCTAAAGCAGACCATCTCCCTCTTAAAGCGATTGTTGCCATCCCAGCCTGGTATGTATAGAAAGTCTCCAAGAGAAGGGGTCGTCCCACCTTCACTTCTTCCAGCACTTCCAATCCAAGCTCACCTTCCTACCATGCCAAGCCATCATTTCCTCACCCTGCTCTTCAAGAAGTAACAAGTGCTCCTTCTTTGTTGTTCCAGGCCATTCGTGTGCATTTGTTTGGGTATCTACACACCCCTGAAACTGAGGACGGTTGTCCTTCATGCCTAAAATCAGAGTTTCACAGGACAAAACACCCTGCGCAAAGTTTTCCAGGCTGTATGGCCATGTTCCAGAAGCATTATCTCCTGACGTTTCTCCTGCATCTATGCCAGGCATCTTCACAAACTCTGAGCATGCCTGCCATAGATGCAGGCAAAACGTTAGAAGAGAATGCTTCTGGAACATGACCAGACAGCCCGAAAAACTCACAACAATCCCTCACAACCTCTGAGGAAGCCTGCCATAGATGCAGGCGAAATGTCAGGGAGAGAAATGGGCATACAGCCCAGAAAACACACAAATACCCCTCAAAACCTCTGAGGATGCCTGCCATAGATGCAGGCAAAACGTCAGGAGAGAATGCTTCTGGAACATGGGCATTCAGCCCAGAAAACACAAACAACCCCTCACAACCTCTGAGGATGCCTGCCAGAGATGCAGACGAAATGTCAGGAGGGAAATGGGCATACAGCCCAGAAAACATACAACAACCCCTTAAAACCTCTGAGGATGCCTGCCAAAGATGCAGGCGAAACGTCAGGAGAGAATGTTTTTGGGACATGGCCATACAGCCGGGAAACTCGCAGAAACCCAGTGATTCCGGCCACGAAAGCTTTAAACAATCCCCTGTGCCAAGTCTTCTTCTTCCTGCCTCCGCCCTCTCCCTTTCCTTTCGAAACCCCCGAAGGTGAAACCCACCACCTACTTGTGCTTAGGAAACACTGGGTGAAGCGCCGAAAGCAGCTGGCCGAAGAAGAAGATGAAGAGGAAGACCCATCTTCCATGTCTGGCCCTAACGCGAGGGGAGCCGAGGGGAGAGGGGAGGCAGGGGCGCGGAGGGAGAGGCGCTTCTTTGTTGTTGCTTCTGCCACCGCCCCAAAATCCCGCTGCTCCTGCTTCTTCTTCTGCCTCCGCCTCTGGCGACGAGGGGCTGCTCTGCCTTCCCTCCGCCTTCTCTGGGCTCCTGAAACCGGCAGGACCCGAAGCCAGAGGGGAAAGAGCCGGGCGAGGATGGAAGAAGCCGGGAAAGTCGCCTCGCGTTGCTGCTGTGGCTGCTGCTGCTGCTGCCGCAAGAGAGGATCAAGGGAGTTGCTCCCGCTTCTGCTGATGTTCCAGCATCTCTGGCTGATGCTCGGCTCCTCTCTCTCTCTCTCTCTTCTCAGGGGGGAGAGGAGGGAAGGCGAGGAGGCGACGGCAAGAAGAAGTCAAAGGAGGGAAGGAAGATGGAGAAAGGGAGGAGAGGGGAAGGGAAGGGGGGAGCTGCTGCGGGGCTGGGAACAATGCGCCTGCAAGAAAGTCTTCAGCCGAGCCGGAGCCGAGGCGGCCGCTCTACAGAGCCAGGAGCCTCATCATCGCTTGCCCTCCTTGCCTCACTCAGGGGAGTGGAGGGCCAAGGCCGGGCTTTCCCCTCCCTGCTCGCCCTGAAGCGAGAGAGGGAAGCGGAGGGGGGCAGGCAGGCCGGCCTGGAGGCAAGCTAATCTCTCTCTCTCTCTGCCTTTCCGCAGGACTTTGGTTGGCCCGAGCCACGGCGAGGAAAGGCGAGGCGGCTCTGGAGGGAGTGGAGCCAATTCCCCTTCTCCCCGCGTCGCGCCTCCCAACTTTGGTCCTCTTTCCGCAGCCTCGTTTTGTCCCGGGGCTTCTTCTTCTTCTTCTTCTTCTTCTCCTTGCTTGGCGGCAAAGGCCCGGCTCCGTGGCCTCCCCGCCTTGGGACCGTCCTCCTCGGCCACGCAAATCTTTCTCTGCCCGTCCAAGCGGCGCTCGCGGGCATGGAAAGAACGGAGCGCGGCTTCCCGACCCACCGCCTGGGCCTCCGGAGGGAGGACGCCGCCCACTGGCGGGGCTTAGCCCGCCTCAAACACGCCTCCTCCGGCCCGCCTCCTCCGCCCCGGGCCCTGGAGGAGGGAAGGAAGGAGAGAAGGAAAAAAGAGGGGGTCCCCAGTCCCTCTCTCTGGAACCCCGAAAATGCAGGAGGCGGCCTGGGGGTGAGGAAAGGGGCTCACTCACTTCTCCAAGCTTTGGCCCCAGTTTGTTCATAAAGTTGGAAGAGACATCAAGGTCCATCCAGGACAACCCCCTGCCAAGAAGCAGGAAAATTGCATTCAAAGCACCCCCGTCAGATAGCCATCCAGCCTCTGTTTAAAAGCTTTCAAAGAAGGAGCCTCCACCACACTTTGGGGCAGAGAGTTCCACTGCTGAACAGCTCTCACAGTCAGGAAGTTCTTCCTCGTGTTCAGGTGGAATCTCCTCCCTTGTAGTTTGAAGCCATTGTTCCGCTCGTTCCAAACGCTCGGGTTCTCCACACGGAAAGCTCTTCCAGCCTGGCTTTTGTATCATATTTCATGTCTATCCCGCCTTTCTCGCTGCAATAAAACCTAAAACAAACAGTTCGAGTACGACCCCCCATCTACACTACATTCTATAGTCAGTGCGCAGACTCCTAGCTAGGCTGCATCTACACTGCCCTATAATCCACATCAATGCAGTTGAGCCACACATTCTGAAGCTGAATTATACTGTAGGGTAGATTCAGCTATACAAGCATGTGGACCATTTCAACAGAAAGGAGGAAACTGTGAAAATTAAACAAAATTTGGATATCGGTTTTTTAAAAAAAAAAATCTAAAATCGAAACAGTAAATAAAGAGCAACGCTCAAAACTTGGAGAATTCCAGACAATAATAAGTCAAGGCCAGCTAACACCTCCCAACAAAGGATCCCCCCAGGCACCAACCAGCCAGACTTTGAAACTGCACAGGAAATAAAGAGCAACACTAAAAAGGGGAGGGGATTCCAAACAAGAATAAGTCAGGGCCAGCTAACCCCTCCCCAAGCCTGATCTACTCAGGTGGTCTTTCCTCCAAAGCCCTGCCCAGCCCCCAAGAGGAAAGGAGAGAGGGAAAAGGCGGGAACGAGAGCAGCGCGCTTCTCACACCTCCGCGCGCCTGCCGGGCTTCAGGGCAGCCAATCAGAAGGAGCCGCGAGTCCGCGTGACTCTCCTAGCGCGCGCGGGCAGGACAGGTGTGCTTCCCGCCCCCATTGACTGCCAGCAACGCAGCCGCCCAGGAATTGGCTCCTGAGACCCCGAACCCAGGACAAAACCCTCCCGGGAGGAGGAAACGGTCCCGGCTTTATTCCACAGGAAACAAAAGCATTTGCAATTCACGCAAAAAGAAAAGAGCCCTTAAAAATAAAATAAATATACATATGTGCCTTCCAGTCGCCCTACAGGGATTTCCGAGCGTTTGCTTAGGCAAAGAATCATAGAGTTGGAAGAGTCATGGGCCAGCCAGTCCAACCCCATTCTGCCAAGAAGCAGGGAAATTGCATTCAAAGCACCCCCGACAGATGGCCATCCAGCCTCTGTTTAAAAGCTTCCAAAGAAGGAGCCTCTACCACACTCAAGAGATGCTTTGGCCAGTTCCTTCCTCTGAAGGGGAGCCTAAAGTAGCTGGTCTCCATGGGCGGTCTCCCATCCAAGGATTCGCCAAACCTGAGGCTGCTTATGATCCAAGATCAGACAGGATGGGATAACTTTGAGGCCTTTTTAAGCGACGGAGGCCTTCTGATTGTTAGTGTGTGTCTTTGGGGACTGCTGGCGACCCGAAGCATGTACTTTCCGGTCCAAACCATGTCCACTTGCGTCCCTGGCTCTCCCTGGTTGGAAATGGAAAAGTGCCGCTTCCTCACGTTGAGCCTTGGCTGGCTGTGAAGAAACAAAAGTTGGCTTTTGGGGGGGGGGGGGGGTACATATATCTTCTTCTTCTTCTATAAATAAAAATGTAATGTTCGTTAGTGGGACTAACATAACTCAGAAACCACTGGACGAATTGACACCAAATTTGGACAGAATACGCCTAACAACCCATTGAGTGACCATCACTCAAAAAAATTGATTTTGTCATTTGGGAGTTGTAGTTGCTGGGATTTATAGTTAACCTACAATGTAAGAGCATTCTGACCTCCACCAACGATGGAATTGAACCAAACGTGGCACACAGGACTAGAAAACACTAGAAGGGTTTGGTGGGCATTGACTATGAGTTTGAGAGTTGTAGTTCAACTAGATCCAGAGAGCACTGTGGACTCAAACAATGTTGGATCTGGACCAAACTTGGCATGAATATTCCATATGCCCAAATATGAACACAGAAAGAGTTTGGGGAAAATAGACCCTGATATTTGGGAGTTTATTTATAGTTATAGTTCACCAACGATCATTGGTGATTTATAGTTCACCAACGATCAAAGAGCACTCTGGACCAATGACAGAATTGGGCAAACTTCCCACACAGAACCCCCATGACCAACAGAAAATACTTGAAGCCATCCAGTCCAACTCCCTTCAAGAAAGAAAACGTAATCAAAGCCCTCCTGGCAGCCATCCAGCCATATATATATGTGTGTGTGTGTGTGTGTATACAGTATCATAGATTTGTAGTACCATAGATTTGAAAGGGACCCCTAAAGAAGGGCAATTATATGTTGCATGTTCCAGAGTAGGCAAACCACACAATCTCTCCATCAACACTGACCAAGAAACAAGAAGAACTACTGTTTACCCACAAGCATCAAGAAATTACATATATTAGAAACCAACACCTTCTCATTACGTTATTCTCCAGCTCACCAGACTGGCACACAGCAACGCGTGGCAGCGGACAGGTAATACACACACACACACACACAAAACCCCAATGCCTTCCGATCTGTATGGTTATGCTAGGATCTCATCACACTAGAGAATGAATCCACTTTAAATCCGGTTTCTGCCTCCTGCAGAATTCTGGGATTTGTAGTTTAGGGATGCTGTTAAAGGCGCCTCCTTAAGCTACAAACCCCAGAATTCCGCAGGAGGCAGAAACCGGATTTAAAGTGGGTTCATTCTCTAATGTGATGTGGAAATCTTAAGTTCTTCTTTGGATGGATGGCCATTGGAGTAGAAAGCCGTTGCCTGTGCTGCGATCGCTTGTCCTCCCATTGCCTTTTCCAAGGTCGTTTGTCAATATTTTGAACCCTTTCCTTGGATGGCTCCATCAAGGGATGCGTTATCTCCAAATGTGCGGGGAGGAGTGCTTGCGAGAGATGCCGCCTCCTTCGAGTTTCCTTTGCAACGAAGTTTGCTTTTCCTTCCTTCAGAGTCAACTGGGACTTTCCCCCCCAAATCCCCGGATTCCTCTGGGAGAGACTGGCGGCGGATTGGATAATCTGGCGTCGATAACCTGGACAAACAAGCAGCCTTCTTTAAAGAATCCTTTCACATGTCAATAGTAAACAATACCAAATGAAACCATTCATCACACTAGAGAATGAATCGACTTTCAATCCGGTTTCTTCCTACTGCAGAATTCTGGGGTTTGTAGTTTAGTGAAGCTGTTAAAGACTCCCCCCTAAACTACAAGCCCCAAAATTCTTCAGGAGGCAGAAAGCGGATTTAAAGTGAAGTCATTATCTGGTGTGTTGAGGTAGATGACAAATCAAACCAAACCTTTGCTTCTGATTTCTCACCTGTTTAGTGCCAATCTTGTTTTGTAGCAAAGACAGGGAAAACTTTAGGTTCCAATAATGATCTGCTGTATACATTGCTCGAATATTGGTATTCTTACCAATGTGTCCTTGCCTTTTGCATCTTGTACATATTCATTTTTTTTATCACAGAGACTGTAATAAGCTGCATCTCATTGCATTCTGAAAATGTTGGTAAATAGCCTTGTTTTACATATCTGATAGCAATATCAAAGACTGGCATTGGAGTAATGAATATCTGAATATCTGTATTGTATAACATTTATTTATGTATAGCACCTGTTTATACAATGCAGTTTGCAAGTTATTTGGTCTTCTGTACAAGTCTCATTCTTCCAAACAGTTATATTCATTTGGTAAAAAGCATATTTCTTTGATAATACTGTTTAGTTCCAGTTGTAAAGCAGTCCATTGATTGCTTATTTTACCACCTTTATTTTTAGAGAGAACATTTGATTTGCTTTGGTTTGCAGCATGATCAATACATTCTTTAGCTGCAAATTCCAGAAATGGGACAAGGACTGGAACGGCAACTCGACTGAGATTGTTTTATGGTTTTAATAGCTGTTTGATATTTGGTGATGTACTGTTTTTTAATATGATTTATGTCTAATGTGTGGTTTTACTAGTGTGGTTGTAAGGCATTGAATTTTTGCAATTATCTATGTGTAAACCGCTTTGAGTCCCCCTAGGAGTGAGAAAAGCGGTATATAAATACTAAAAATAATAAATAATAAAGAAATGCATTCCAAGAACACAAATTATAAAGTCTCCAATTCACTGTTGGTACATAATTCAGCTTAATTATTTTACCTTATCTCTTTGTTGTTCTATTTTCAGTTAGTTCGTGTGTAGAATGTATTTGTAACATGAAATTATATGTTTCAAGTTTTCCTTTTTGTCCTAAAATCAAAGCATTCACTCAAGTTAATCAATCATGTACATTCAAATTAATCGTTAGGTTTCTTATATGGGGAATGCACCCTCTTTCTGTAACAATGCATTCTCAGTTCTTGGAATGCTTTATAACTAGAACAAAAATCTTCATGCAAAAGAAATGGAAACAAAAGAATAAAAATGATAATACCAAAACAAATTATGAACATTTTGCTCAGGCTTTTATTTTACTTATAGTATCATAGTGTTGGAAAAGACCTTGTGGGCCATCCAGTCCAAGCCCCTGCAGGAAAATCACATAACTTACCATTTTCTAAACTTTGCATTCAGACTTTTCTTTCAAAAGAATACTAACTTAATTTCCAGAAAAGATCAAACTTTACTTAGAACATTCTCACATCTTGCTT